AAGCCTTGTCTGGGTCATGTTCATTTGGGCAGCTCAAGCCTTGCCCTTCAAAGCCTCTAACATTCTTTACCATATTATCACTGTTATATTTATAATTACTTTCAGTAATGAAACATCCCTGAGTGGCATAGAGTGCAACGTTTGCATCAAGCAGTGATTGTCATTTACGAAGTGTGAAACTTAAAGAGTAAAGATGAGGACAGGGCCTCCAGCACACTGTTCCTAATGGATGTCAGAGATAGGTTTTAGTTTTTAGAGTGGAGACAGAAGGTGCTGGGACAGGCTAGTAGGTGTAAATGCACTACTATTTTATGGCCAGGGAAAAGCAAACTGTTTTTTCTCAGGGTTCCATTTCATATAACCCAAGACATAGTGAATTTGACAAAAAAAAAAGTCTTTTGTGTTTCAGTTTGATCTTATGTGCTATATTCCTGGGATGTTCAAAAGACAATGACTGAAAATAGGAACCACCTTCCGGGCTGGACCTTAGATCTTCTGGAAACAGCACAGTCAATGCAGAGTTGGGAGGGAGGAGAAGGAATGGGGGAGCCTGAACATCTTTCAAATGACGTTTGAAGCACAGCTTCAGAGGGGTGGAAAAGTCAAGAGGGAAAGGAGCCATCAGCTCCACATCTCTAACTAAGCTGCCTGCCCAGTTTGTGAGGCTGCTGCAATCTTAGAGAAGTTCATACAGCCTTGTAGAGGGAGGCCAAGAGGCTAGCACACAGGAGCATCTTTGCATCCCCTTTGTGTAGAAGTTGTTATATCAGAAATCCTGCAAACTGTCCCAAAGGGAACCACACGACTACGCAAGCTGCCACTGTAAAACTGAACAAAGGAAATCGCATAACAAAGCTCATTTTCATGGGCAGCTCTGGTAGCTGCTCCACCTCAGCACCATAACTTGGCACAGGTATTGAAACAGCACTGGTGCTCAAGGTGCAACAGGAAAATAAACTGACCCCTGTGAAACTGGGCTGAAATGAACAACACAGAGCATGAACTTAAAGCATTTAGTAGAGTAACATCTGCCTTCTGCTCAACAGAGCTCAAAAGGGACCTCTTAATGCCAAGGGCCCCCAGTCTTGCTACCAGTTGAGCACCTTCTTGGCTGAAATGCCTCAATTTTTAGTGACTCTAGTTAGAGCTGAGTGTCTGATAACTTGCAGAATCAATTCATTAATGCTGTTCATTCACAAGCCAATCAAAACCTGTATGTTGCTTTTGGAAACAAGTTTCCCCAACTGAGGTGCCTCCTACTACCACGTTTCTTTTCTAGCAATTTCCATTAGAAGGAAATATGAATCTTAGAATTAATTCTTTATAAAAAGAGCAGACAAGAGTGATATTTACAACAAAATGAAGTCTTTGTGGTAGTATAATGAACACTGTACATCTGCTTCCTCAATGCCAAGGGCAATTTAGCATAATATAGTTGAATTACTGGAGAGCAATGCTAGAAGTAATAGATTTAATACATGCTTTAAATATGTTTTTGTTACAGGTTCCAGGTTAATCAATCATTAAAAAGATGTGTCTTATTTGAAAAGTTTGTCACTAAAAAAATCAACAAACATATCCAGTTACTACTGAAAGAAGATGTGACAAATTTAGTTTTAGATACTTATTTGAAAAGCTTCTATCATTTGAAAAGGTTCTACCATGGACTACTAAAAGCCAAAAAAAAACGAAAATGAAGAACTAGTGGTGTGAATTATGAAGCTATTTACTAATCTTAATTCTATTTTATCCTCAAAAGTCAATGGATAACTTGAATATGTGATGTCCAATATCAATAATTTGAAATTATGATTCTAAGAGACTATGTCAGCAAAAGCAATACCAAAAATCCAGCCTGTGGCATGGGATCATTATATGTTGTTCTACACTCAGTCAATGAAGGGCAACAGAGGTACTGTACCTATGTGGCCAAGCCCAAATGACAGAAAATTAAACAAAATCTAATTGCAGTTACCACAGCACATTTCCATAAATAAATAATTTTTGAAAATGAATTTTCATTTTCCAAGTAAGCAAGACTACTATCTGCTCAAATCCTTTACTAATAATAACAAAAATTTGTATCAATGACAATGAAGATCTTGTATGGTGGGTATTAGAAGTTTTAGGATAAAAGCGAAGAATCCACTTTTATTTCTAAACTGGATATTTCTACCTTAGTGGTGTCTCACAAGTTACTTAACCTTTTTACTTTCATTTCCACATCTTTAAAATGTGATAATAATTATTACTGATTGGAAGTGATCTAAGAATAGTTCTTTACAGACTAAAGGCCTTGCAGGTAATGATTAGCCATTTTCACTGGTGACCTCTATTTAGTTATCTTGCCTGAGAAGTAATTCAAAAATCCCAAGAAGTGATTAGCTTATTAGAGAAGAAAACAACACTTTCAGGATGCAACACACAATTGTGAAGGTCTATTTATAAACATGACAAACCTCTTTAATAAGCAGCACTATGAACAGTATTATTTATTACTTATTCTATATTTCTATGGGTTGGCTAAATATATACTTTTGATATACTGCAAATGAATTTATAAAATATTTCAAACAGTATGTGTGTGTTCTTATGTTGGGAAATCAAGAAAAACACGAATCCCCTGCAATTAAAACAGCACTTCTAGAGTTCAGTGTAACTCAATTTTTCCCCCGATAAAACTTACATAAATAGTATGTAGACATTGCGTTTTGATATAAACATCAAATTTGGGATATTTTTCTTGGATTTGCCATACAAGAAGGGCTGCAAACAGGTATCTCACCTTATAAAGCAATGTCAGTTTTACAGTTAGAGTGGTATAAAGAAGCATCAAGAGAAATGCTTTATTACATTAATTGAAGACATTTTAAGATAGTCTCTAGAGAAATGTGCTCTGAATTTGGAGCAGAAAAGGTAACTTTAGTAACTGCTGTTCTATAGCATTAAGCAATTTTGAAGAGTATGTCACATTTGCAACAAAATTCTCACAACTAAATTTGCTGGACAGATTTTTTTCTAAGTTGCAATGGACCTGCACAGAAATATTTATTAGCTGAGCATTTCTAATTACTCTTGTAGCTGTTCTGGCATTGCTAAAACAGAACAAAAAAATTGTGATATTCTCTAGACTTGATTCTGCCACAAAATATGTATGCAAACTTGCAAACTGACTGATGGAAGGCAAGGGAGAGCTCCTCAAAGTACTTGAAATAGCCTGTGAATTATCTGCTCATGCAGAAAAGAAAAGCTTGAGACCAGAGCTGCACAAGGAATTAAGTTATCACTACAACAGATCAATTTTCTTCACCCACCCCAGGGCCCACCTGTGGGCTCCCTGTGACACTGCCCCTCTATGAGTCTGGCAAATGGGCAGGTCCTTTGTGCTTCCCCTTGCCTTGCCTCAGATTGCACTGGCTTCTGCACTGGTTTGAAATAAATAAACACATCTGCTTGTGATCCTGCCTTCACTTCCTTTCTTCTCTACTGCCTGCTTCTTCTGATTTCTGCTCTATGCCCTTCGCTGTCATCCCAGGAGGAGACTGTTCTGAAAAAGTTCACAATGGGTAAAAGTGGATATAGAGATGTAACAGAAATTGAATCCTTCTTTCATAGCTAAAACATCTGTGTTTTGTACTACTGGCAGAATGCAGATACATTAATAATTGCTGATTAAACTTAATTAATTCACAATACTAAGTCCATGGCAGCCTTCCGCTCCCCTCTGTGTTTGCCTTTGGTTTTGCAAGGAAATGCACATACAGTCAATTCAGAGACAGACAAAAAGAACGCTCCAATCCTGTGCTCCACTCCTGAAATGCATCTAAAATAAATCCTATATATGCATATATATATACAGTAATATACATACAGATATATACATACATATATGCATGTGTTTAAAACATACACAGATGTATGAGTGTAATGGAAACCATCAGTCCCATCTAGATGATGACTATCAGAAACAGTGACAATTACACTGTTGTTTGTAGTAACCACAGACTTCACTCACTTTTGACTTTCTTCCTCCTTCCCTCCTTTCCTTCCTCTTCAGAGTTACATTTTAGGCTTGCCATGGTTTTCACTGAGCTTACCACCTATCTTTCTAATGAGTTCAGCAAAAAACTGAAGCTACTTTTCAAAGCAGTATATATAAAACAAAATCATGTATGAAATCACAAAAATGTACATATGGGATTGTCTACATTTTTACTCCATGTTTCAGATACTTTACTGAGATCAGGTCCTATTATCTTCACTTTTAAATATGTTCTATCCCTGTAACAGTGAGAAAAAAAAAAAATCCCAATCCTATTCCTCTTTTCACTAAAACCATCCAGACAAGGCTTTTGCACCATTGATACATTCCTGGTGTTAGATTTACACACAGTACACATGCATTACATTACATACATGTCAGAAGTGATCCTGTCATTACACATTGGCAGCTGACAATTTAACTCTGGCAAAGCAAATTTTGATTGCCCAAAGTAATCTAATACATTGCTTGGAGAGTAAGAAATACATGACAGCTGGGTTGAGCATCCTTTAAATGTAGGCATGTGATTTTAAATTATAGCATGTATGCATATAAAGCATACATACATATATACATACATACACATATATATGTGTATATATATGTGAATGTGTGTATCTTCCATATCTGCACCATAATTTCCAAGACAGCTACAAATTTCCACATGCATTAAACTATCTAAAAACATAGAACTAGGCAGTCTAATACGTGGAATTTTCTTAAATTATATTTTAACAATAAACAGCAAGAGTAATACTGCAAAGTACTGCTCTATTATCATGTATATCTACAATAAAATTCTAGGAACAGTTGTCTCCCAAAACATCCCCCAGTAAAAGTAAATTAAAAAAAAAAGTAAAACCCAGTGTCCTATATTTGTA